AGGGTTTGTTACCATCAAATGATCCTTGAGCAATACTACATAATACTTTTATTGAATTAATCATACTAATATTAACAGTTTTTTGAGATTCGTGTAATTTATTCGGTTCTAATTCCACTTCATCAAATCCTAAAACATGTCTTAAACTATTATCAATAGTGAAATCGATTGTTTCAGAACAGTAAACATATGATTTAAATGTATTGATGTTTGGAAATATGCTAAATACAATATTTGGATGGGTTTTTTTAATCATGTTTTTAATATATTCATTTATTTGACTTAGTTCATAACACCCTGGTTCTATTTCAAGCTTTAAGATTTCTTTATCCGTTTGTTCACTCAGAATGTGTTCATTACTTTTTGAGAAAAAATCGGAAGATTTATTAATATTACTCGTATATGATTCCGTGAAATATTTAGATAAATGTCTTGGATTATGATCAATAACATTCTTATCTGATTCTAGTGAAGAACTACTGCTTACAGGAACATCGCGTTTATTTAATATTGTATTGTTCTTTATAATTATTCTCAATTTATTATTGCTTTCATTAATATTAGGAAAAGAATTATATGTCTGAAGATTTAATAATGCTATTTCTGAGTCCTCAGCTATAGTTAGTGATGGAAAAAAATTTGTTGATAACTCTGTAGTGTTACCTGATAAACTTATTGTTGTTGATTCATACATTGTAAAAAATCAATACATAAATGACCACAAATAAATGTATTATAATTTTGATATTTTGAGTAATTATATAAAATATTGTACCCTTTAAAACGATTTTGGAGTTCAATTGGTGGTGGTAAATTACCAAAGCTATCAAAATACCATATGTTGTTATATTTTTTAAAGTAAGCAACCCAATGCGATCCTTTTTGACTTATTCCAGCAAGGTTAATAACCGCACATTCGTTTTTAAAAATAGTTTTTGGTAAGCTGTCACGTGAAAATACACCACGGAAATGTGGAATTTTTAATTGTGCAACATGTTTTATAATGTCTTGAGAGGAAAGAGGTCTATTAGGTAGCATAGTAATTAGTTTTTTTTTTCTTAATATTTCTTCTTTTCTTCACACCTAAACCTGATTTGTCTAAGTATAAACCTTTACCATTACGAACATTCAAATATAAGCCTTTACCAATTTTTTTCGTTTGTCCAGTTTTAGAATCTTTAACAGCTTTATAGATATTTGCTGCACCAGACGCAAGACTACCGAGGGCTGAAAGTCCTGCAAATATTGGTATCAAAGGTATAGCAGAACCCCTTTGATTTGGTACCTTAATTTTTCTAACTTTTTTAGACTTTCTTCGAGATATTCTTTTTCTTACTGCTCCAACTAATTTACCACCTTTTTTAGCTTTGCAACAACCCATACCAATTTTACGTTTAGCTTTCATAATGTTAGTAACGGTGTAGGCTGCAGCTTTTTCCCCGAATGAACTATCTTTTGCTTTCACCCTATCCCACGCTTGAAATTCTAATTTTTTATCAGCTAAATTACGGTTTGTTACGTCTTTATTTTTTAAATACGCTATATCGTGGTCACGACAAGCCTCATCAAGAAGATTTATAGGTTTATCACCTCTAGCCAATCTTTTTTCAAGTTTTGTTCCAGGTCCACAATATTTATAACCTGGTAAATGTGCTTCGAACGGAAGTTTATTTATTAGTGTATTAACGAGACCTTTACCGGTTATACACTTTTGCACTCTTGGCATTTCCTATATATACTAAGTATTTTTTCTTAGTTCACAACTATTATATATACAAAAAAATGCGTTTTATAGAACAGAATAGTAAATTAAATATTAAAAATATAGACACAGAAATTTCTAATAAAGCAATCTCAAGACATGGACCTTTACTACCAGATAGTATCCGATGTATTATTGTTGGATCTAGTGGCTCTGGTAAAACAAATGTAATGTTTAATCTTCTTACACATATAAATGGTTTAAAATTTGAAAACGTTTATTTGTATACAAAAACGCTTAACCAAGAAAAATATATTTTATTGAAACAAATTTTTGATGGTCTAGAAGGAGTGAAGCTGTTTATTTTTACGGAAGCTGAAGAAGTAGTTAAACCACAAATAACGAATCCAAATTCTATTTTTATTTTTGATGATGTGCTGTGTGATACTCAAATACCCATTCAAGATTATTTTAGTATGGGGAGACATTTTGGTGCTAATTCAGTTTTCTTTTTAGTTCAAAGTTATTCTAAAGTTTTAAAACGATTGGTACGCGATAACTGTAATTTATTAGTGGTGTTCAAACAAGACGAACGTAATCTAAGACATATATTTAATGATCATATTTCAACTGATATGGATTATCTAGATTTTCAAAAAATGTGTATTTATTGTTGGGGCTATGAAAAATATGGTTTTCTTGTTATAGATAAAACTAGAAATGTTAATGATGGTCGGTACAGACGTGGTTTTGATGTCTATATAAGCTTGGTGTAAACTGAAATATTTTTTAGTTTGCTAAAATGTCAGAAAACAAAATATTACTTAACAATTTGGTAGAATCAAAAAATAATATTAAGCGGAAAATTATGGAGTTAAAGCGCGGTGTTTTAGATTCTGAATATACATTTAACGAAACATTTAAACCGATTATAGAACCACTTAATATGCTAGTTAATGACAATAAAATGAATAATGTTATTGATGAGGAATTATCTGTTACAACAAATGAGGAAAACGCTGATCCTCAATTATATGAATTCAACAATTTTATGAAATTACCTCCAAATAGAAGATCATATGATCCATCTTATGGTATGCGTTATGATAATATTGATAATCAACTAAAAATTGGTAATTTCCCAGTATTCATTGCCAACAATAAAATTTATGTAGCAGACAAAGACTATGATTGGACCCCAGGTCTATGGTCGTTACTTTGTGAAAAAAACCCTAAATTAACTACACGTCAGGATTTTAAATCGTATTACAAAATATTAGATGCTACAGAGGTTCACTTAAATGTTAACGGAGGACCTAAATCTAGCCAATCTTATAAATGGACTTTTATTGTTAAGCCATATTATACTGAAAAAATGTTACAATTGAAGACAACAAAAAGAGCGAAACTTGATGTCAGTTTTATAGCTTCAAAGGCAGCGGAAGCTGCTCATTCAAAAGATCCAATCACATTTGAAAAACCTACTGACTTAGAAAAGTCAGACGATTTTAAGTCAAAAGAAGGATCTGGTATATTATATAAGAATGTACAACCTAATACACAAATCATTTATTATGATAATCCAAATGAATTAGTGTCTAGGCTTGCTCTTTTAATGGCTTCTAAAGAGGCTGGGAATACAGGTGTAAGTAATGAAATAATATCAATAATTGAAGAACTTCGTGAACAAAAAATTATTGTTTAATTAAAAAAAAAAAATATATATATATATAAATATTACCACTCCTCCTCTATACAATTATTTATACTTTCTTCTAAAAAGTATTTTTTTAACGAATTTAAATTTAAATTAAAAAAAAGAAATGGTATTTTTTTAGAATTAATTATTATTAAGTCATATTTTTTAATTATACTATCTACCCATTCATCTATCTCTTCCCAGCTTATTTGTACTTCTTCTTCTTCTTCTTCATCCTCTTTTTGATTCAGTAAATCCTTTCTATACCTATAATATTTTAATATATGGTTTAAAAAATAGAAGATGTTTTACATTTTTTTATATTACCAATAATCAATTTTTTCATCTTCTTCAACATCATCCTTATCTTCTAACTTCATTTCCTTAAAATATTCTTTAATCAGCTTGATTTTCTCATTATGATTCAAATGGTCCGGAATCCAAGGAACGTAATAATCACAACATGACATATTTTCCAAGTTGTAATTATAAATTGTTTGTTCTATAAATTTTCTATCATTGATGCAAATCATTATGAACTGTAAAATAATGTAATAAAAATTAAGGTGATAGAAAAAAAATTATTTCAACTAGTTTACATATTAATCTATTATGACTTCTTTAAGAGATATAGCCAACGAATTACATAGACCAGCTAGAAAAATATTTCCAAGACGTAAAGTTATTACAAGGTTCATGGATGAACTTTGGCAAATTGATTTAATGGATATGCAGGCGCATTCGAGGAAAAATAGTGGTTTCAAATATATTTTAGTTGTTATTGATACGTTTACTAAATACGTATGGTTAGAACCTTTAAAAAATAAATCAGCAATTACTATAAAAGATGCGATGATGAAAATATTAAAAACTCATCAGCCTAAATTTGTTCAATCGGATTTTGGATTGGAATTTCATAATGAGAAATTTCAAAATATTATGAAAAAATATAACATTAAACATTATTCAACTTATAGTAGTATCAAGGCGGGGATGGTAGAACGAGTGATTAGAACTTTAAAAAATTATATTTATACAAATTTTACAGCTCAAGGCAGTTGGGACTGGATAAAAGCATTACCAAAACTAGTAAACAGATATAATAATAGTAGACACAGAACAATTAGTTGTACTCCACAAGAAGCCAGATTAACTCCTCATTCTGTTACACATAAAAGTTATTCTAGCAAAAGTTTAGAGAAAAAACCAAAATTTAAGTTAAATGAAAAAGTTAGAATATCAAAATATAAACACATTTTTAATAAATCTTACACACCAAGTTGGACTACAGAAGTTTTTACTATTAGCAACATTTTAGATACTAATCCTATAACCTACAAATTGTCTGATGAGAAAGGTGAGCTAATTTTAGGATGTTTTTATGAGCAAGAAATTAAAAAGACTAATTACCCTGATACATATCTTATAGAACGTGTCTTGAAAAGATCAAAAGGAAAAATGTATGTAAAGTATTTAGGACTAGATTCATCTCATAACTCATGGGTGAAAACAGAAAATATTGTAAAATAATTTTTATTAAAAAAAAAAAAAAAAAAATACAATTTCTTTATATTAAACTATTAAAAATAGTAACTTAGTTATATATTTAAAAATTAAAGATTTATGTGTCTAGTTGACTAATATAAAATGTTAAACCAGTTAGGATCTTGTAGTTTATATGCTGATCTTTCAGAGCCAGCGAGGAAGATTTTATCCAGTCTACACTTCATTTGTACCCGTTCATCTCTATTGGTGGTTGAATGATGGATGCAATTGACAATACCCAATACCGGTCTAGAAAAAATGGTAGACTCTATCCGTTCAAAGTGGTACATATTTAGTTTTTTATGACCACCACATACAGTACGTTTAAATGTAGGATTTGATGCCAATAAAGACAAAACTTCACCGTTATCGTTTATGGTTACTGCAGCATTCATATCGAATTGCTCAATGGATGGATGTAGAAATATTTTCAAAATATCATTTATGACTACGTAATCCGGTCTTCTCCTAACATAGTATGTACCACCTGCATGTTCATTCCTCCACTTGCGTAGCACAATACGTGCATTGCCATCAAGTATATGACCGATGGGATACACATACTTGGCACCATTATCTATCGTTGGTACAAACGATGGAAATATCTCTTTTAGTTTTTCATCATCAAGCTCTCTATTATGATAAAATAGTATGATATCTGTTTCTGAAACGTCATCAATTGTTTGATTAAAATCATCGTCTGTCTCAAAGATAAAAATAAGAGCTAATTCTCCAGGCATTGCTGCAGTTACATTGAGTGAACGAAATGTTCGAAAAATTTCCAAGAAACGGTTGAATCGCGCCATCTAAATAACAGAATTATTTAAATAATTTTTTTAACATATAAAATTATTTACATATTTAAATTTTATAATGTTCATAAATATTTGTAGTGACCATGTGCTATTGTATCTATCCCATTTTCCAATATTATTCGCTTGTCATCGCTTGCACTAAGTGCGAGTTTGTAAATTTTTTTTGAATATACTTGATGTTTTTCTGATTGAATTGTGTTCATAGATTGATATGTTATTGTATTGTTCTGACTAAAAGTGTTTTGACTAGAATATGCTTTTAAAACGCTGATATAATGTTCCATTTTCATATTTTTTTCAATCACATACTTTTTTACTCCTTTTGCTTTCTTTGTTTCCTTTCCTCCAACATTAAAAGCATACAGTTTCGGTCGCAAGGTTACAAATTCAAGTAAAATCAAACTTTTTAATTCATCTTTAAAGTAACCTGGTACATTCTTCCTCCTTTCTGAAAAACATGGATGATCTTTGGGAAAATTTGATGTATCGAAATATGGTGACAAATCATTTGTGAGATCAGTCATAAAATCGTCTGTAATAATTTCATAGATTAAGGAATCTGTATCGGAGTAGCATAATCTAATGTTGCGACCATACTTAGGCTTCATTACATTATAGTGAAAATTATACATAACAGTTTTGGAAATATCTAGAATAGCTAATCCTACATATATGGGTTTATCAAATTTAAGTTTCTCCTTGAACATGTGTATAGCCATTAGATTATTAGAATAAATTGTACGATCTTTAAAACTAGGTTTTATCATTAAACGATGTGCCTGTCGATCAGTTGTCACCAATTTCATATTCATACGTTTTCTCACGTTTTCCATACATTTTCCAAAAACAGAATTGATAGCGAGTTTCCAAAACGCTTTTTCAAACTCATTTGTTGCGTTTCGTCTCATTTCAGTACAAAGTTTCACGTAGGGTGCCATCCATTTCTTTTGCTCGAATTTAACAATTCTATGTACTTTTGTCACAACTAATCCGTTTGCGATAGCTTGCTTCAGTGAACGATAATGTACAACATAATTTCGTTTAGGATTAAAAGTAGTCATCAATTTTTTCACCTTTGAATTAGGTGGGAATGTAAATTCGGGTAAAAATGGGAAATCGTTATGATCATTGTGTAAATGCTCAGGGTAATCAACATCAACTTCTAATATATAACCATACTTTGAATTGTTTGGTATTGTTGTAATATCTAATGATAAATCTTCTAACCATTCGAAATTACGAAAAGGTAAAACCGATAGCATAGCTTTCCCATAGAGGTTTACACAGTCAAAATATGTAAGCCAAGACGTGGGTTTATCAGGATTGTAATTAATTCCCTCGACATTAGGGATATTAGCTTTTACGTGTCGTTTAACACTGTTACAGATACCTCCGCGAATACCGGCTTCAAGCATGAGATGCATATCATAATCTTTTAGCCTTTCAAGTTCAACATTAGTAAATTTCAACATTGCTTGGAATGCGAATCCTGGAGCTGTAAAATAATGTGATGCATCAAGATGAAATGTGTTCATACAAAGATTTCGAAATGACTCGAAAACATCGGCTAATATTAAAATATCAGTCAACAGATAGTGATCAGAATATTCACCTAAAGTTTTTATTCTAAATGTATTCCAAACAGTTTTCGCATGGTTATAATCTTGGTTACTGATTTCTTCATCATTTAGTGAGTTGTAAAAGTGTTTTTTGGATGGTAAATAAGTCTGTTCAAGTTTATCCCAGTTATTCACGTATTCGTAGGGGAAACAACCTTTACGACATACTAAATCTAATTTATCTATTGAAAAAAATCGTAATGTCTCTTTAAACCTAGATTTGTCTTCGGCTAAATTATTAGCAAGCGTACTTAAAGGCTCTGACATAAATCTAAACGTATCTATGAATTTTATTTTCATAGTTTTGGAAATTTCTTTGCTAAATGAAATATATTTTTCACTCGAATTAGGAATAACATCAATTCGTTTGTTATTTATTCCTAATTGATGTACTATGAAATTACTATCGTACGCTAAGTTATGAAAATAAATTGGAATGAAAGTTACATTTTTCAACTTGAAATTACAGGTCAAACATAATACATTTCTAAATTTACCCGTAAAATGACAGTGATCTCTAACTTTTATGGTATTGATAAAAGATCGCTTACATATTTCACAATTGCTAGCGTTTTGAAATCGATTTGTTTCTTCACTAGTTAAAGGATTCATTGCTATGTTTGTCTGATATAATTTATCTACTTCTTCTCCGACTTTTATAAGAGCTTCCATAAATTTTTTGGCAGCATTTTCACCTCTGTAAATAACTGGTTTTTTAGGTATTTTAAATTCATTAACTAATTCAGGTGGAATGGTTGTGTAATCAATTTTAACATAAAAGCCAAAACTCATCGGTTTGTGTTGAAAAGTTTTAATAGATTTCTGTTTTTCATTTGACTGTTCCATAAGAGGTTTTAAAAAACATTCAAAATCTGCATAGATCACTATTGGTACGCGTTGAGTAGCTATATAATTTGTAAATTTGATTACAGAATCATCATGATCTTCAAGCATAACTGGTCTGCTTAATTTATGTTGAGAACAGAATTTTTTATGTTCTCGTAGTCCTTCAAACCCCCATAATTTATTCTTACAAGGTGTGTTGTTAAAAATAGTAAAACATCGTTTGCAGATATTTATTTGTTCTTTGTGTTTAGTTCTTTGAGACCTAATAAGTCTTGAAAAATTGGATATAAAGCAATAATGTTGTCGTGAAGTGTTGCTAAGTAAAAGTAAGTCAAAATGGTTTCGTTTTTCAATATCGGAAACTAGTATTGGATAAATTAATGATTTACTGTCTAGTCCATATATGTTAATGGAAACATTATTGATCTTTGCAAATTTTCTTACTTCTTTAATCGAAGTTGGGAATGTGATACACTTGAAATCAAATTTATTTTTAGTCTCTAAATAATCAAAATATTTTTTAGAGAATTTACTTTTATTATTACGCCTATCAAACTTAGACAATATTGCATACTTAAAACATTTTTCGTCGTTATTATTTATGTTAACTATAGCTCTTCTACCCTGAATTTTTTGTGGTAGAGGAATGTATGATGAACCTTCTAAAGGATTTACAACATTTATGCGTAGCTGTATACCATCAATATTTCGAAGAGACCAACCACTGCCTTTAGCAATAAATTCACTTTCTTCCTTCAAAAGTTTACCATATATATTATTCAACAATACTGTAAAATCGGATCCTGATGTTGTGAATGTGTTTTTTGTTTTAAACGAAATATCTTGCAACTCAAAAGTTAAAACATTTTCATACACACAATCCAAGTGAAGATTAAATTTAATTGAGTTATTTTTACACGCTTCCTTAATTTTTGGTAAAATAAATGTAGTAGCATATTTGAAAAAAAGTATAAAGTCTAGAAACTTTAACTTATTTTTTAAAAAGAAAGTTTTCGACCTGGACCTAAATCTTCCTATTTCTTGTAAACCATCACCAGTTGAACGCAAACGAATGTTTTTCGTAATTTTCATGTTTTTTTTTTTTTTTTCAAACTAGAAATATAAAACCAAGAGTCACATAATCATATACAAATACAACAACAAAATTATTCATAAATTTAAATATTTTCTTTTATTGTTTTTATTATATCGTACATTTTTTTTATTATTTCATCGTCTAATTTATTTTTTATTTTATTTTTATAATTCTTTCTTCTCCTAGCATGTTTGCTAGGCTTACCTAGTGCTTTAATAATTTTTATTTTTTCCTTAGGATTTAATAAAAGTGTGGAAGTTTGTTGTGCCATACCTTAACAGTTTTTAGATGAGTTGACCTTGAGAGTGATGAGGACTGTAACGATATTCTAAAAAAAAAAAAAAGAATCATAATGTTCATTCTTCATACTATTTTTTTTTTTTTAAAAGACACTCAATATTTTCCATCCGTTGGTGACATAATTAAAATATATATTTTTTATTAGCACTGCTATCAAATAAATGACGCGACTTAAATAAAAAAAAATATGATTTTAAAGAGCACTACACAACTGGAGTAGAAAATTAGAACTGATAGCTCAATTTATGCATCCGTTGGTGACATAATTAAAATATATATTTTTATTAGCACTGCTATCAAATAAATGACGGCGACTTAAATAAAAAACATATTTTTAAAGAGCACTACACAACAAGAGTACAAAATTAGAACTGATAGCTTATTTTTGCATCCGTTGGTGACATAATTAAAATATATATTTTTATTAGCACTGCTATCAAATAAATGACGGCGACTTAAATAAAAAATATATTTTTAAAGAGCACTACACAACAAGAGTACAAAATTAGAACTGATAGCTTAATTTATGCATCCGTTGGTGACATAATTAAAATATATATTTTTATTAGCACTGCTATCAAATAAATGACGGCGACTTAAATAAAAAATATATTTTTAAAGAGCACTACACAACAAGAGTACAAAATTAGAACTGATAGCTTAATTTATGCATCCGTTGGTGACATAATTAAAATATATATTTTTATTAGCACTGCTATCAAATAAATGACGGCGACTTAAATAAAAAAATATATTTTTAAAGAGCACTACACAACAAGAGTACAAAATTAGAACTGATAGCTTAATTTATGCATCCGTTGGTGACATAATTAAAATATATATTTTTATTAGCACTGCTATCAAATAAATGACGGCGACTTAAATAAAAAATATATTTTTAAAGAGCACTACACAACAAGAGTACAAAATTAGAACTGATAGCTTAATTTATGCATCCGTTGGTGACATAATTAAAATATATATTTTTATTAGCACTGCTATCAAATAAATGACGGCGACTTAAATAAAAAAATATATTTTTAAAGAGCACTACACAACAAGAGTACAAAATTAGAACTGATAGCTTAATTTATGCATCCGTTGGTGACATAATTAAAATATATATTTTTATTAGCACTGCTATCAAATAAATGACGGCGACTTAAATAAAAAATATATTTTTAAAGAGCACTACACAACAAGAGTACAAAATTAGAACTGATAGCTTAATTTATGCATCCGTTGGTGACATAATTAAAATATATATTTTTATTAGCATTGTTATCAAATAAATGACGGCGACTTAAATAAAAAATATATTTTTAAAGAGCACTACACAACAAGAGTACAAAATTAAATGTCTTTAAGTAAAAAATGATTACACTTACATAGCTAAGAATGATATAGTACTGTCGAAAACACTTCACTAGCAGGAGACGGTGTTTCCACTGGTAAAAGACAATCACAGACTGATGTTTAAAACACACGACTAGGCAGTATTTATGCAGTCGAAAGGAGGTTATTCTCCTCCTCATATTATAATTTTAAAGACATTCACAACATATACCACTTCTATAGTGTTATTAAAAAAAAAAAATTAAATCGACCTCGCTTGGAGAATATAGTTAAACGTCTATAGCAGTTAGGTTCCTCAAGGATTGTAACACGCAGCGAGTCGTAGGGTTTCTGTGGTCTGTGGTTAGTTCATTGAATCGTATTTATAAATTTTTTTTTTTAGCTATTGTACAATGATTGTTACAATGTTACAACTGGAATGAATAAAAGAAGGTTAATTATCTTTCTCATATTATTATTTCGAAGACACTCTACATAGTATTATAAAAAACAGAATCATCCCACTCCGTACATATTTTCGCTTAAGTTATTTTTTACCATGCAAATTTGAACGTTAGCACTATAGTGGGATATTTTTTATTTGTCAAGATTGGTATAAAACGAGAAAAAACATAAACATCAGAGTTATATTAACATTAGTTGTGTGACAGTACAGTTCGAATTTATTTTACAAACAAAATGTCGATTCTGGAATCATCCGACGAGGACTTCTTCGCAGTAAGTTAACTAAATAATAATAATAATATGAATGATATAAAAAATGTTTTTTAGGAGACCTCACAGAGAAATGATGAATCAAGCTCGTTTGATCCACCACAAGTGAAGAAACCCAAAGTAGTTAGCAAAAATATAAGAAAACAGTCAAAAAACAACAAAACGGTATTATTTATTTATATACTTTTTTTGTTTTTTTTTTTAAATAGTAAAATTATGTATTTTCAGTCAACAATTTTTCAAAAAGCGTTAAAGGATGCAGTTATTTTAGATGAAGCGAACTATGAAGAATCGATGCTGCTTTTACGTGACAATAATCAAAAATGTGTCATTAATATTAAAACACCGAGTCCAACGTCTTATATAATTATACAAGAATATTTAGTAAATGATGTATTAGGATTATCCTATAGTGAGAGGTGAGAATTTTTTTTTTTATTTTGGTACCAAAACGTAGCATAATTAATTTTTTTATAGATGGCGAAAAGTGAACCGATCTGCTAAAATTGGTCTTACAAATAATAAGGCGAATTCTAAAATCAACAATTTATTGAAAAATCTATTTGATGAATTGGGAGAAAAATTTTTATCAGATGAATCTCGCACAATAAAAATGACAAAGGAATGATATTATTACAGCTATATCAACTATTTTAAATACATGATGGTGGAGGTTCTTTTCATAATAATAATATTAATATTGTATGGTATTAACGTAATGATATATTGTTAAGACGAGTTATATTTTTTACTTATATACCATTGTTTTTTTCAGTAGTATAGCAGAGGTATAATATAAATTAGAAATCATTGTTTTTTTTTTTTCAGCAGTATAACAATAATAATAATGGTGGAGAACATTTCATTATAATAATAATATTGTATGATTTTAACGTAACGATATACTGTTAAGATAAGATTATATAGTATTACAATAAAATATTTTAAATTAGAAATCATTGTTTTTTTTCAGTAGTATAGTAAAGGTATATAATAATAATAATATTAATGTTTATTCACGTGTGAAGAAAGTTAACTAGACTCAAACATTACCCACATAAACCGCATAAACACAGATCACGCAGCGTATAGAATACAACTAACCACAGGGTTTCATTGACGCGGTGTGTCTTGTTCAATGAATCGTAGTAATTTTTTTGTGTAATGGTTGCTATGACTCAAATGATTATATTTATTACAAGGCGAAACTGTTTCACTAAAAAGTAAGTGGGATTTTTTTTTTTTACTATCAAACTTAGTGTATGAGTAAGAGCTGTTAGTTCAAAATGGACAGCGATTCCTATCCATCGTCTGCTAGAACGGTGAGGCGTTGCAAACGACGGCGGCGACCGCGTAAAATCCGAACACAACGGCGACGGATAGGTTCTTACACATCTCTTGAGACTGATACTACCGCATCGCGAAGTCGATCGGTAAGTGTTAATTCCAGTTCTAGTTTTTTTTCATTATCACCCCTACGTCAACGGTCGCTCTCGTCGACTTCATATTCTCCTTGGAGCTCGAGTAGCGACGTGAAGTCTTTTCATAGTAAATCAACACTGTGGTTGGAATGTAAGTTTTTTTTTTTATTTAACCCATCGTTTCACACAGAGCACATTTTAAGGTTTTTTTTGTACTATACAATTTTTTTAAAAAATAAACTTATAGTTTTTTATTTTTTTTTTTATTTTCTAATAATAGTAATTACAAAAAAAAAAACATAATATCAATTAGTAGTGAGTAAAAAGATACATATTTCTTTGAATGATTCAATGTTCTGAGTTTAACTAGTAATTAATAATAATGGAAAAAGTTTAGCAATCGTGTTCTTCAATATAGGTTTACCAACGATGGGTTAATAAATGAATATTAACATTTTTTTTTTTTTTACAAAATAAGTAACGTACTTTTTTTATTTAGCGGATACAGATGACGAACATGGAATTGGAAATTGGTCTACATCAGAACCATCAATAATTTCGCTAGCAGATTCATGTAAGTTAATTTTTTTTTTATTTGAAATAAAATAATATTTTCTTCTTTTTTTTTTTTAAAAAAAAAAAGGGTCATCAACAGATGTTACTTATGAATCGGATGCAGACGTGTTACCTCCACTTCTGCGTCTTAATCAGCCAGCTATTGAAACCATTTGGCTAACTGATTCGGATTAATATGTAAGTTAGTTTAATTTTTTTAATTATTGTTGAATTAATATTATACTGTTTTTTTTTTTTAGGGTTTTTAGGGAGGTATTTATTATTGTTGAAAACATGAACGTTAGAGATCACTGTAAGCTGATTTTAAATTAGTAAAATAAAAAAAATATTTTAATATATTTTTTTTTTTTTTTTTAAAGGTTAACAGATAGAGTTGTTGGAAATTATTATCATGTGTACTCTACGCTTTGAGACTTAAATGTGAGTAATTATATAATATATATATATATAACACAATTGATTAGTTAATAGAATGTTTATTAAACACTTTTTTAAATTCACAATACAATTACATTATTTAATAAGATTAATAATACTTTAAAAATAATCCTCGTTCACTCAGATTTTGTTGAATTTTTTATTCTGTAAGCGCTTGGATCGACGAGCATCTGGCGTTTTCACAATTAATACTGAAATATCATTTTCTAAGTTTTGATTAATTATTTTAACACTATTTTTGGTTGCTTCAATAATTATATATTTTAACAAACGACACTTTCGACAGGAGCAGCATTCTAAATGTGAAGGCATTATTATACCTTCTTGTAAGACGGTTATTTCTAAACTAAAACGAGTGAAATATTTTTTTAAATAATTAGCTTGTATACGTTTTCCCTCTCTCAATACATATATTTTTTTTTCCTTTTCGAAATTATACTATAGTTACTAGAAGTTCTTGCATAATCAAATTTATAATTTGATCATAATTAATTTTTAATTCATGGATGAATAGCGCATTTGTATCCGTTGCAAACATTTGAAAATCATAGTTTGCGACAAAAGCCGTTATGAAATCGATACGTCGACATTCACTTGAAAAATTATTAACATCATTAAGTATAGCTGAATATATATCGTTAAAAGATTTTTGATACAACTCCAACTTATTTAAGCGTTCAGTTATATGTGCTTCAATACAATTTGAAATCATCTGAAGTGTTAACAAATTTATACGCGTCAATTTCATACGTTCATTTTTATTACGTAATATCACTGAATCTGTTTTAGGGTTAGTAGTACAACTAAAATCTGAACCTAATTGTATTCGCTTTGCATTGTTTTGAATTGTGTTCACAATGTTGTTGAATATTTGAAATTCCATCAGAGTACGCCACTGTTTTTCATCAAGAATTAGCTGGTCTTGACTATTTTTATAATCTAAATAAACAATAATAGATAATTTTTTATTTAAAAGAATACCTACCGAGATAGTTCTTTTGGGGTCAATGGTGAACGTAGATTTAGATAACACATTTGCCATTTTGTTTAAATAAAATTTTAGCATGCACATAAACGTCCGTACAACTTAACTCTATATTAACTACTTATATCTTTAGCATAAAGATGACGTATATATATATACAAACCTTGAGTATAAAACATACCCCCTCTTCTACTTATTCCAGTGTAATTGACCAAATGGGTTGTGCAATTTTTAGATTCTTTACATTTTGTAATTCTTTTGTCTGGTGTAGAACTTCTTCAAAAGATTCCTCAAGTTTTGTTTTAGATGTAGATTTTTCTATATTTGAATGTTCAATTTTGTCTAATTTAATTATAAAATTATAAATAGCTTCTAGTAGACTACATTTAATACAAGGCATTGTGCTTGGAATAATACTTTTAACATCGACTGTACTACTATACGAAACTCTATGTACTAAACACTTGGAAAAAACATTTGATTAACTATATTAGCCCCCCCCCCCTCTTCTTACCGCTATATTTTATTTTTTAAATTGGAAAAAAAAAATGCAAAAAGTGTAGACGCAGTGACGGAATGAATTAAAGTATGACTCAACCTCAACCTACCTAGCCTAGCATGAGTGCTATCAATCCACATCCTATTAAATTTATCCTAGAAAGTCACGCCTTAACCTACTACGCCACTGCGTCTACAATGTGAATTCATGGTTTTACTAGTACTTAAAGAGTTAATTTAAATGTAAGAATGTTGTAATAAATTAACATCTTTTTTTTATTTAATAGGTTTTAAAATCAATGAGGTGAACCCTTCACTAACCGAAGATAACCACAATCTGGAGACCATCTTGCATGCTCGATCCAAGGTTCGTCGTTCGGCTCCCAAGATCTCAGACCTTGACGACAATAAAAACATGAGACATCATCATTTGATCCATCACCAATATAAATAAAACCGGCTTCACTCATAAGTTCTCGCTTTGAAATAAGTAGTGTATTACTACATTTATCAAAAGTCTTGTTACGCGTTTTACAATCTAAATAGTCTAATGTACAAAAAACATCACATTCACTATTATAATCATCCATTATTATACTGTTTAAATTGAATTAAAATGACTATCATTTATTTGAAACATGTTTTTATATATGATTTATTTCTTCCACTTCTTATTTAGTAAAACACTCAACGTTGCAAAATAATTTTCTATACTAAACAATGTATAAGGTTAAACTATAATTTGTATAAAATGGGCGGTAAAGCCCCAAATTACTACTACTATTCGCTACAAAGTATTACCTGACATATGCTGTTGCTTGCGATGTTTCTGAATGAGAATGTTGCACGTTGTCTGCTACCCTTTAGGTCCCCTTTATTTTCAATAATAAAATTATAATCAACATGTAGTATAATACACTAATTTTTATATTACAAATTGTAATTAACTTACTTTTTTTTAAGTTTAAACGAATTCAACAATCTTCCGAGTAATTTCCTTTTTTTTTATTTTTTTTTTTTGATTCACGAGATCTATTATTTTCTTTTCAACTGTGTTTCGAACTATCCATAATAGAACAATATTTAAAATTGTAACAAAATAAAAGTAAACTGTACGCGATCGTAAACGTGAACGTAGTATTTTGTTTCCATATTTCATTGTTAATAAATACCTACTGCAAGATTATTAGAGTCGTAAATTGTAATAAGAGAGAATTTGTCATGAAACATTATATTTATATAGACTCTAGTACTATGTGATATGGGTTTGGCGACTTTTGATTTTTGTGGAATCATAAATTTATTAAATATGTGAACAACGATTAAAAATTTGATATTACTTATATTTAATTTTGTGTTTTTCTTCAATAATCAAATATACATGTGTAATGTATGTGCATATCATTGACCAAAGTTAAAAATATACAAAATATTATATCACTACTGTCCCATGTCCCATGTATCTTGTATTTAGTTGATATAATATTTAAAGAGTGAATTTGTCAAACGTTCGAAGTGCCAAAGTACAAAAATTGGACTAGCTATTCATTTGTGTACGTTGTCCCCGTTTGATAATTAATTATTTTGATATATTATTCTATGATACTATTCCATTAAATATATTATACCTATATTATTATCATATTCGATTACATATATATAGGATTGTGGTTTTCTTGTTTTTCGTTCACTCAGTATTTTTGAGTCTTTTTTTTATTGCGTGTTCATTTTTTAGTTGTTGCGTTAAATATATAAATTAATATTTTTAACTAACTTGTATTTTAAAGTACTAATTATATTTTGAACTTTTATCGTTGGTAGTTAAACAATTAAATCGACAGATTCTAATTATTTTTCCATCGACTATTTACAAGATAATCCGGGGTTGCAGTACGAAGTGTTGGGCGACACAAAAATTATTCAAAGTTTCTGGCATTTTAACGCTTATATTAGTTTAACTACCCCTGTTGGTCGGGGTTAGAATAGACCATCGGTTGTTCCTGTCTGTCGTAAAAAGCGACTAAAAGGTTAATAAAGAAAGATTAATTTAACAACGTTCGAGATTTAGGCCCATGAAATCGAATGCATGTTACGTGATTTCATCAAAATCAACAGCTCTTACGTTGATTACGACTCGCATAAACGTCTTAAAATCGCATTCGACACATTGTCTTCAGATACGTGGGATTTAAGACGTTTAGGTGGTCACAGAAGATTGAAAAAATCAGTCGATACGATTGGACGGATTTTGAAGTGGACAATTGGAGAGGCCGATGCCAACGATGTTCGTAGGAATTATAGTTTTATCGACCATTTCGAAAACAATGAAGAAGATATTGCTAAAATAACGCAGAACCAAGTGTCCATCGTAAGAAGTTTAATATCAAATTTTAATAATTCTATTAACTCGTTTAACTATAATAAGGATATTGTAAATAATAATATGAATATTTTACAAAGTAATATAAATGACCTGCAAATTAAAATGTCGGGTCGTAAAAAAGTGGACAAATTAGTTGAAATTATAGAGAGTAGCATATTTATACTACAAAATAGTATAAACAAGCTAACAAATGCTATTCTTTTGTCTCACAACAACCAGTTGCATCCAATAGTTATAAGACCCGATCAATTATTAATTGAAATTAACAACATTTTACAGTATATTCTTAAAGATTAGCAAATTCCTGTAAATTTAAAGAATTTTCATGATATTTTAAATATATTAGGAGTACAATGTTTCATTATCAACGATAGGTTAATATTTGAAATTAAATTACCCTTATGTAATAGCGAAAATTACACCGTGTACCATATTTTACCAATATATATTCCTATCAATAAGAACAACCAATTTGTCCATCTAGTTCAGTATAACAAATATTTAATTACCGATATAAAAGTAGATACGTATGTAGAAATTAATGATATAAAAAGCGTTTGTAAATTAATAGATAATTTTTTTATTTGCGAAACAGACAACTTAGAGTACAATAGACAGAATAAAACAAACTGTAAAATTGACCTACTAAATAATTATTATAAAATACCGTCGACTTGTAATATGTATATTACAGAATTTACATTGGAGACGTGGTATACATCATATTTTAATAACCACTGGTATTTCGTTTGTAGTCAGCCTACTCTATTGACAATTATTTGCAAAAAATACAGTCTTATTAAAAAAATAATTATAGAAAATTTTGGCAAGTTGTGGTTAGAAAAAAACTGCATGGCCTCTACACCCAGTAGTAGTTTAAACCCAGTTAGTTCGTATACCTCTAATTACAAATCTCTACCTATAATGATTTCGCTGATAGAGGATAAATGTTGTTCAGAAATAAAAAATAAAACAATTCCTAAGCCCATTCATTTAGAAGTTCTAAAAAGTATAAAAACAAATCAACAGTCTTTACACAAATTAAATTTAGAGTTAGATGAGGAAGAAAAATTAGCTACAAAATTATATGATAATATATA